TCAACGGACGTTGCTGCCGCTGTCCCACAAAACACCACGGCCAAAAACCTCGTCCTTCTCAATCTCCTCCTTAAAACAAGTAAGTTGTTCATGTTCTGGCTCCGGTACAAGAGGAACTTTAAAATCTCCAGGTGCTCAATGCTCGCCTCCATGTTTGGACAACTTCCATAAACACAGAGCACGCTCGCTCGCCGTTTAACGTTCACACTGGAGATCACATACAAGTCACATTTAATTGGAAATCTGAACGACCTCGCAAAAACATCGGATTTCACAAAAAAATACGAATTGAGCGTTAAACCCTGCAGTCTGAACGTAGCCTATGTGTCAGATCTACATGCAAATAGTGACAAGGCGACCCCAAATAAAGCTCCCTAAAACCTACCCAAGAGTCGCGGCCCAGTCTTTGGGAAACAATTCTGCGTGTATTTTTAACATCATTAAAACTGCTTCTTTTATCCATGAGCCAACTGTCTTTTCACATATTACTTTTTGATTAACAACAAAACCCAATGCACGGTGCCCAAAACTACTTTTAAAATCTCCGTGTACCCTTAAGGACATCATTTGTATGCAAAAAAAAAAAAAACTTCTGGCAACACCTCCAGCGCCCCACCAAACTTTTTACTACTATTGATTGCATTCATTTCTATATCCCGGTCTAATATATTGTCTTATGATTTAGTGCCGTCCTGGCCTATTGTCTCAAACTGTCATCTTTTCGCAATACTAAAAGCTCAGCGCGTGAAGGGTCATTTGAGGCGTATATTTTTTAACAACCAAAGCAAAAAACCTCTTGTGAGTTATTGCTTTTCATTTTCCTGTTTTTACTGATCTACGGTAATTCCTAAATCTGGTCGCGGACGCTATAATCCCGGCCCTGATTATGACGCCAATTAGTAAATGAGTTTCGCGCGAGGAGGGAGGGAGAAACCGCGGTGATAACTTTGCAAAAAATACTTGTACGGAATCCAAAAATCATAAGGAAGCCGGCGTCTATTTGCAAAACGCACTTAAATTTTTACAATGTCTCTTAGTTGTGCTCTTCTGTTTGAAATAAATCACAGAGACGCGGGATCGATGCAGGGGAGAGATAAAAGTTTCAAAGCAAAAAATAGTGGCACTTATCGACGTCGTACGAGAGCGGATAACATCACGAGCGAAAATACGATCCGTCATTACGGGCCGGTCAGGAGAAGTTAATTTACGGCCCTCGAGACGAAAATGAAATGGTATCAAAAAAGAATACGTGGTAATTGAAGTGTTTTTAAAGGCGCATTGTGTAACTTTTCTGGTGGAAGGGCTTGTCAGCCGCTTGTTTCTATGGATATGTCATTGGAATGTTCCACAGTGTGACATTAAACAGCTTTTTGTCTTAAGTTTATTCAATTACAAGTGGTTTTATAGCTCAAAAATAAAGGCGATCTGACTGTGAGCGGGGTCACCTCTCCACAGATCTGACTCGTAACTTGGTCTGGTTTGGTCTCCATGAAGATAGAAAGGTGTAATGCCATACTGTGGAACATTCCAGACAAAGAAAAACATTTGACACACACAATACACACTTTATTTTATCTTCATTTACACGTTTAACACACAAACCTTGCATTCAGTATTGAGGCTGGTCCTTCTCTCAAACCAAAAAACACTCTGTTCCACCTTGTGATGTCATGTAGTAATACAGAATGTGCTCCACTGTGTTTACATGAGAACACTTGCAGGAAAAATGACAAAATATTTTATCGGTAGTGCCTTTCGTTTAGACGGTGGCGGCGTTTTTTGGGGCTTAAAAATGCAAAAATCTGACACCACCGTCCAGAGTGGAAGAGTTGAATACACTCTGCCGTAACGTTTCCATCTACACTGCCCAAGATGCAAAACTTTGGTCAGATGTGCTCACGTCGCATACACCTTTACGTCACGTACATACAGTACACAGAAACAAACACTTCGGATGGCATGCATACCCAATCCAATTCCACACACTTTTGCGTCACCGTATGCACGCAGATTTCCTCCCGAAAACGCTCGTCTAAACGTGGAATAAAAAGTGAAGACGCGACGCCACTTTTGTGTCTTCTGTTCAGACCGTCATCGTATAAACGTAGACTTAAACTCCATAAACCTTCACTAGAATCATTTGAATAATTTCAGCCCTGGAATTGAAAAAAAAATAAAAAATTAAAATCTCTTAAGGAGCTGTTTACATGAAAACTACCACTTCATGACATCACAAGGTGGAACAGAGCATTTTGAGCTTAAATAATAAAGGGTTTCTCAAACTTGTATGAATGTGAAAATCGTCAAAACACAATCCATCTTTACAGGTGAAGTTAAATCACGGCCCTCAAGACTAAAATGAAATCTTATCAAAAATGAACTGAAGTTTCACCTATAAAACTGCACATCTGGATACACACTTTAAAGCTGCACTGTGTAACTTTTCAGAGTTGGCTAGATGGTCCACCACCTACCTGCTTGACTCCATATTGTTTTTACCTGAAATGTTCTACAGTACGGCATTTCATTGAACTATCTCCATGGAGACAATTAAGAAGGCCTTAATAATAATGCGCATTTTGCTGTAGTTTTGAGAAATAAAAAACACTAATTGAAGAAATACAAGACATACAGTATTTGTTAATGCCGTACTGTGGAACATCTCAGGAACCCTGCACCGGAAAAGTTACACAGTGCGCCTTTAACCGTAGCACTAATGATTATACTAAAGATGTATCTGCGCATTTTTCAAGCGTTTTAAACAATTTTGGAGAATTCTAATTTTCTTTTTTCTTTTTCTGGTTCATGTAAAATAATGTAAGCTGTATTTATTTTAAAAAAGATGTTATTTGAAAGGAGACAGTGAAATTGAATAAAACACATAATTAAACGTGAGTAAAAAAGACAGAATTATGATGTTAGAGAAGCAAAAAAAAAAAAGATTCAGAGGACAAAACAGACTAGAATTTACAAACATGAGACAAAATAAAAAAGAGTAAAGATAATTCCGTCTTAATTTTTATGCATACAAAACATAATTACCAGTAGAGGGCGCAAATCATTTTAAATAAGGCTCGAAACAATAGCTGCTCTCTCTAAGCAAGACGATTTAACAAGAAAATTAGAAATGAGGATGAGAGGGTATTTTAATTTTGACATACAGGGGTGCAGAACCAGAACCAGGTAATGACATCACAAGGTGGAACAGTGCAAAGCATTTTTAATCAGGCTCAAAACAATAGCTGCTCTCTCAAAGCAAGACGATTAAACAAGCAGTTTAGAAATGATCAGGATGAAAGTGTATTTTAAAACGTAAAAGGGTGAATCAGAACCACCTAATGACATCACAAGGTGGAACACTGCAAAGCATTTTAAATCAGGCTCAAAACAATAGCTGTTCTCTCTAAGCAAGACAATTTAACAAGAAAGTTAGAAATGAGGATGAGAGGGTGTTTTAATTTTTACATACAGGGGCGCGTCAGAACCACTTAATGACATCACAAGGTGGAACAGTGCGTTTTGAGGAATGTGAATTTAGTGCTTTCAATATTATTTATAACATTTTAATTTTAACTTTGAGTCTCAAAATGCATTTAATGTTCGCTTTAATTAAATAAAAGGTGTAAATGCGTAAATTTTACGTATCAGCGTCAAATTTGGTTGTTTTTGAGTATCTGCGTAAAAAGTATTGACGTTTAACACAGTCTAAACTACAAAAATATGTATATTTTCGAAAAGCTTGTAACATTGTCTTTCCCCACGCCATACTCGTGCTCAGTGTGTTGTTGTAAATTCTTGAGTCGTTACAGTTACTTCCGTATTGTTTTCTTTCTTGCCTGTTTTGATGCGTAAGTTGCGTGGCTCTCCCCCTCGCGCTCCTTTAACTCTGCTGGAGCCAAACATCTGTTCCTCCCCGCTCCACAAAGGCACCACTGAGCTGCGATGCAAAGAGAGGTCAAGAGATCAGTGCCTTCCCTCCACACGCGCGCTTTACGCACGCACACGGACGCACACTCACCGCGTCTAACCGCTCCTGCCGCTTCTGCCGCACGCGCCTCCTGTTTGTTCCTTCCGCGCGCTTTTCCTTCGCGGCGCTGTAAATAAACTGTTCAAAATACTCAGACTGTTCTAGTCCTGGTTCAGTTCTGATCCAGACCTGGTTCAGGCATCGTGTGGCTCTGGTTTATTCTTGGTTAGAGCGTGTTTTTTACACCTGACTTATGTTAGTCTTAAAGTTAAGTCTGGTTTAAAACCCGTTTTTGTATTTCTTTAATCCTCCTTTAGTCCAGCAATTGTGTAGTTTTGTCTACTTGAGGCACGCAAATTTACCTTGTTTTAGTCCTGGTTTAGTCCTGGTTTAGTCCTGGCTTAGTCCTGGCTTACTCTTGGTTTAGTCTTGGTTCAGTCCTGATTTAGTCCTGTTTTAGTCCTGGTTTGGTCCTGGTTTAGTCCTGCTTCAGTCCTGGTTTAGTCCTGATTTAGTCCATGTTTATTTATTCCTGGTTAAATTGATCTTTATCCCACATTTATTGCAAGTTTCTTCTTGAGCTTTGGTGTTTATCATGATCTTCTTTACTTTTGGGTTTAGTTTTTTGTTAAATCTCGCTTTAGTCTTGCCTTTGTGCTGCTTTAGTCCTGGTTTAGTCCTGCCTTAGTCCTGCTTTAGCCCTGGTTTAGTCCCTGTTTAGTCCCGGTTAGATTTATCTTTATCCCACATTTATTGCCAGTTCCTTCTTGAGCTTCACTGTTTATCATGATCTCGTTGTCTTTTTTAGTTTGTGTTAAATCTGGTTTTACTCCCGCTTTAGTATCACCCTCTTCTTTTGATTTCATTTTCAATCCGTTCTAAACTCCGCACATTCTTTCCATCACAGAAACAAAAGTGCTGTGGCGGGCTTTGTGACCTCTGATGCTTATATGGGCATGGACGCGCACCTGCTTTTAGAGGCATTACGGTAAGCGGCCGATAGAGCGCACGCAGCCAGCGAACTGTCCCCGTGTTCTTCTATTACCACAACACACACTTCAGACTGGCACACAAACGCACACACGCTCGCTTCACTCCGCGGCAGACGGGATGCCAAAAAGTGCGGCAGAGAAGAGGAGCGGCAGCAACTGAAAGAAGAAAAGAAAAAACAACAGGAGGCGAAAGAAAGGGGAGAAAAGGAAGCGAGACGTAAACAGGACACACGCGTTTTTTTCCGCTTAAGTTACGCGCGGTGCAACAAGAGAGAGTTCGCGGCGGCAGCATTGTTAAGACTTCACTCCGGTGAGAGGGGCCACACTGCGATCGAGGAAGGAGGACACAAAAGGAAACGGACTATCCGGAGAAAGTCTCGTCCCGGTTTCCTACGCCACGCTCCGACGCTTTTTTTTCTACCACCGATTTGAATTTTGAATCTTTGAAAAACTCATAAACCGAGAGACAGATAGCCGAGGAAGGAAAAGAAGAAAGGAAGCGAGCGAGGAAGGAAGAGAGAGTGAGTAGACGCCGGGTTTTGAGGAGCGAGAGAAGGCTGCCCGTCCACATGGTCCAACCGCTGGCGTGAAAGTTGACTTCTTCGCGAAACAAGAACAGGTTGATAGTTGTCTCCTACGTTTCATTCCTACTTCCTAAAAACTCCTTTCCTTCACTTTATCCCTTCTTTAATTCTCTTCACAACTTTTCCTCGTGTCCCATTCACTCCGCTGTTGTCTTCGCGGAGAGGGGTGACGCGATTTCTACTATTTTTGGGGCACTTTTACGCACGATTTCATTGAATTACCTCGGCCGAAACGCGTTATTGAGTGCATAAAACGAGCGCACATGGCGAGCCCAACTTTCCTTTCCTCTTTCACATGCTCCCGTAGGCTGCTGCACACCACAAGTTGTTGCGAAAATCATTTGAGAGTTTGTTTGCTGCTTGAAAAGTTTGTTGCACGTAGAGGGGCCTTTTGTTTTTGTTCGTAAACACAACGCCGAAACCAAAACCACGGAGAGCGAAAAGCGGATGCCATTTGCGTATGGGAGAGCGGAGTGCTGCTTCGGACTCGGCTCGTTAATAAGCCTCGTTAAGGGATTCGATAATAAACGCCGTCTTGTGTTATACGTGGTGATAATTTTACGCATCCGACCGCGCGTCCGTGCTTTGTCATCGCTTCAAAACCCTCACCACTGTATTAAAAAACTGCATTATTGGGATAAAACTGCGGATTTGGATCGGTTTTATAATCACAAGTGAACCCACGCACTTCAAAAAGGCGCCTGGACGTAATATAAAAGCTTTTGTGCGAAGAGGAAAAAAACTTGAAGAGAGGGACAATGCTTTCTTTTGACTTTTGGCTTTGCGAAGAGACGCGCTCACTCGTTTCGAATTTGGACTTTTTGCACTTTTAACTTTTAATTCTCGCCTCTCAAATGGTCAAATCGCGTGCGTAATTACTCTACACCTCACTCGTAACTCCAAATATCGACGTCTTTAAAAACAGACTTCAGTCTTTAATGCAAAAGTACTTCTAAAATCATTTCTTTTCTCGTTTTTCATCTTTGCCCTGCGTCTTTACGATCCAGCTCGCGGTTTATATTTAGAAATGACTATTGAAAAGTAGAAATTAAGTTGGTGAAGTGTGTGCCCACCGCTTTGTGCACGGAGCCTGCTTTCCCTTCTGTTTGGAGCGACCGCGTAAAAGTGAAGGCCTCCACCGCAAGCGTACATATTCTCCTGCTAGGCAACATGGCAAACTATTCCAAACACCGCGTTAATATTTTTGCAGAGACCGGCCTTCGCTCGAGTCTCAAATCGGACGCGTCCAAAGCGAAACGGCGTGCGTAACTTTCCCATCTTTACGTCAATTTAAAGACAATTATATAGTTCGTGAAAGGGGGGATTACATTGACACGTGTCGCTTAGATCACTGTCAAATTCACTCCCATTACACGACAATGAAAAGGATATTTACGACGTTGATTGATGCGTCCGGGGAACCGCTAGACATTTTATTTACTCACCCCCCCACCACCGCCACCACCACCCCCCACCCCTCTCCCCGTATCGTTATCTGACACTGGCTCGTTCCCATCCCTGCTCCCCCCCCCCCCCCCAGTCCCGTACACATATAATATAATAATAGTCCGTACGTATACCATCGGCATCCGGGCGCACTTTTTAATTGCGCGCTAATGGAAGGCTCCGGAGGGGGTTGGAAAGGGCGCAGCATCTCCTCCTCTGCTCCGTGACCTCGCTGCGCTCGCGGTGTCAGCCAAAGGGAGCAGGTACACTTTTAGGCACGCGAGGAATTTATAGGGAAGCGGTAAAAAACGGAGCTTTATTTCGCAATTAAAATAAAGTCTGTAAAAAAAAAAAATACGACACGAAAAGCGGCACCAAGTTGGAGTCAGTGGTGGAGATGTCTAATTAATTGACCACTCCACTGCAGCTTCGTAATTACGCACTTTTACGCACGACTTGATGCGTTGAAAAGAGTAAATATAAAGAGATATTTAACTTATAATCAACATAACTAAGTCTTATCACGCTTGGATACGTATTTACATCTATAATTTTTATGCATTTTTAATCCAAATATGTGAAAATGTGTAAACAAGCAAGCAAAAGTACATGGGCCTATCTATTTCAAACATGAATTTGCATTTTTACAGTTTTAATAATCACATTTTCAAGTTGCAAAAATACAACCTTTTGTCCTAACTTTACAATGACACAAATTATTATCTCATAATGTATAGAAATTGAAATCTTTCGCTCAAAATTAACATCTTAACAATTGTAAATCGAGTTCCAAAACGACACGTGCTTTGCATTTCACACCACACAACGGTCAAATTCCATTGTGAAAAGTGCACAAATTCAATTCTGACTTTTTCTATCACCCATACAAATAGCTACCAGATCCCGATAAGCTGCTGCCAAAACCCGGCAAGCAACGTTAGAAAATTCAAACTTCATATTCACAGTGTTTTAAAAATTTTCCCCTCTTTGCAACGCTCCTGCTCATCCCTGTCAAGCGTTTGAAACTAAATCTGGTAATTCCTTGGCTTGCATCGGGCCATTGTAGCGGCACCTTTTTCCCCTTTTCTCCACACCGCTCCTTCTCTCCTCTCCTCCTCCTGTGTGACTTTTCCTTTTACCTCTCCTTTCTTTCTATATTTCTCCTAATATTTTGATTTTCACCACGCACTGTTATCATATGTGAATTGCATGCGTTTGGACACCAATTTTGCCTGTGAAAAAAACTGCAGTATTGATTGTTTTAGCTCATCGAGTCAGTTTTGAAGAGCTCTTAACAGCATATGCGTGATCAAGTACTTCTACCATATACCCACTTGGGGAGTTTTTTTTCCCATTCGGCACCAGGCTAAATGGCTTGATAAAATTACCCCATGCATTCTCTCAATTCATTTAAGTCCTCTAGTTTTTTAACCACAAGACTGAGTGGGCTACTAAGTGATGTTGAAGTACTCCTATTACTACTACTACTACCGCTATACATGTAGGATGTGACCCCAGAAAAGATAGCCACTTGCGCGTTCACTTCGATTGCGGCGGTTTGTTAAAAAGCAGAGATGGTTACAAATTTTCAATGGCATGGCGAGTTGAGAAATTGTTCCGCAAATGCTTTTATTGGAGGTGGGAGAGGGGTGAGGTGGGTTTGAATGCAGCGTGCGTGCTGGCTAATTATCCGTAATAGTGAACGGAGTCTGTCGTCGCACTTAAATCAAATCGGTGAGCCAAATGATTTTAATATTCATTTATGTTGACGAGCTGCAGTTGACGTGAATTGACCAGAAAAATCGAAAATTTGCAAATTCTCGTTTGCTTTTCATTGCAGTTTGATGATGTACATTTTCTGTTTCGATCCTATTGCTTTGACTGGAAAATATTGACTTAAATATGTGGATTTTAACCTTTTTTAATTTGTCAACTGAAAATTACAAATACAAACTGAAAAAATGTCAAATGTAAAATGCGTACAGCTTGAATTTAAGCTCAAAATTGCTGGCATTGTGCATCTGAAATTTGTGGGGTTTTTTTTCTATTCAATATGTCTTACAACATTGCTTTAACCAAATATTTTAGATTCCTTGAGGTGACAATTGTAGGAATGTGTCCGTGCTGGAAAAGCTGATTCTTTTCATCTGACTTATTTTACTTATTTCAATAATACACTTGGTTAGATGCAGTACTGAAAGCTACTGCATGTACAATTTCTGTATGTTTTAAAAGGCCAATTAAAAACCTGTTTCCGAGCTATAATTGGCGGTAGGGATTCTAGCAGCGTGGATGCTTCGAGCGCGTCACTGCCATTTAAAGTCAATTGATCCTATTGCGGTCTTGAGAAGCTATAGCGGTTTTAATACACTACGATTAAATACTACCACTAGTTCTATTTTTGTAGTAATTGCTAAAATACTTAACAAAGTGTATAAAAACCACGCTTCCGAACTAGGACAAGAGCTCGGGTAGAGGAAGCGCTTGACCTAAATTGTACAAATCCTATAGCGGCTTTTGATGGTAATTGAAGGAACTTACTCGTATATAGATTCTGAAAAACGTATTGGACAATGGAGGTCTCTGGAGAGCAATTGATTCTAATGGCAAAGGGTGAAAGCTGCAGTATGTGTGATGGAATGTTGGATTGAAGGTAAGTATTTGGAGGAGAAAGGCTGTAGTAAAATATCGTGTACTTTTCAGATACGTTTATTCATTGATTATAGATTCGGTTTTGAAAAAGTGAATGAATTGGGACGAGTTCGGACATATTTTCGACGGCAATTTGAGACATGTTTCTTTGCTGGTGTTACGTAATATTGCAGTTCAAGCGGATGAAGCAATAATAATAGTTGGAGATTTTTGCTTACATGGCTTAAAAAGTACACACACACACACACACACACACAACAGTTGCTTGGTTTTGGTTAGTCCATTTCTGATTAAGACACATAGCAACATTGTAGACATAAGAAAATGTGGATCATAAATGTGATTGACAATTGAATATCTGAATAACAAATTGTTTATAAAAGAGAAAATTTTATAAGTTAAGTTAAAATGTGTTGTTTTGCATTTGGCTGGAAAAGTTTGTGTACATTATTATGTCAAAATGGCTATAAGCTACTGAATACCTGTTTTCTAAAATCTAAAAACAGAAAAAAACTTGTTACTGGATCCATAGACATTCACTGATCCTGTCTTCAAGTATCTATAAAATATCTGATTTAGGGTTGCAGAAAAAAAAAACAATATTTTCGATAACTTTTTAACATTTTGTATTGTGATAACGATATATTGCAGTATTTTAACATACTTTTTGGCTCAAGAATTTCAGTTAAACACCCCCAAAATCATGTGTCTTTATGTCCACTAGTCAAACAGTTTCAAAATCAAAACTTGACACTGACTAAACCATGACAAAATGAGGAAAATCATGTATAAAATATATCAAAAGTACACTTCTGTAAAATGGAAAACTTCACAATGTTGCGATATAAATTGTCTCGCGATACCAATTATCACATCAGCCGATATTTTTGCTATATTTTTTCGATATATATTCTTCCTCCTTAATCTGAATCAGGTT